TTTTTCAATCTGTTTAGTTTCATAATTCTTAATCTTATTTTTTTTCTTAAATAATAACAGAGGTACTAAACATGCAAACAGTAAAAACCATTTTATTCCAGTATTTTTTTTGATGGCATGCACACTTTTTATTGTGGTCAGTTATTGGAAACTGCAGAAGGAAAAAAAATGAAGTGATCAGTTGAGAAGTATTGCTGTTACTGGTTTTTTGAAATCATTTATTATGATTTAATATGCAATGTAATCCTGATCAAGAATGACAGGCTCTAACCCAGGTCTTTTGCTCCATCCAGGTTGCCATTCAGCAGCTTCGTGACCGTCTCACTCGGGCTCTTGGGGAGCAGGGGTCGGCTCCTGGAGCTTCAGTGCAAACACAGAGAGCTCCATCTCAGCTGCCTGCCCCTCGGGCTCAGCTTCGGCATCCTTACACCCAGGTCCATCCCACCATGGTGCCTCAGCCCACCCCAGCAGCACCAGTGCCCATGCCTACATCCGCCTCCGCCCCAGCACAGCCACAGTATTACCAGCCAGTATGTTCCACAGAGCTGCCACTACATCTCATAACAGTGTTTACACACAGACCTGATTTTCTTGGTTCTTATCTCTCTATCATTTACTCTGATTTGCATTTGTTGTGATTTTATTGACAATTTTTTTATACAAATGTATAAACTACCCAAGAATAAGATTCTGAAATCTAGCATAAACATACACAGATGCATCGTCTTAACGACACTGTAATAAAAAATTGGATTTAAAAAAGAGATACTGCAAGTAAGTGATCGCCACATTTTCCCACATTAATGAAAACAGATTTTCTCTAAGTGTATAACCATTTTCATACAATATAATACAATTTCATAGAATATAGTTAATATAGTTTCTTTTCTTGGGAGTTTTGTTTATTCAACAATATCTGTCTTTAAATCTAGGAAATGAAAAGATCTCTCTCTCTTAGCCTTAATTTACAATTCCAGTTCATGTGTGTGGATTAATCTGTTCTTTGATGTGTTCATGTTGAATCTTGATTTAAGTTTATATCAGACCTGAGGGCAGACTGGTCTATTTCCTGTTCTTCCTCTAAATCTGACATCTCCACACTTACTAACTACCTGACAAAGTGCTCATTTTAATTTCCTGATGTGTTGTAGTCATTTCATCATTTGCCAGTCCATTCTTGCCAGGGTTTAAATGACAAGCTGTGGGTACTTTTATCAGCATCTGGGCAATTTTGTTATTGTGTCTAAACTTTCTTTCAGGATGTTGTGTTCTTGTAATTTGAACCTTGGCTCGTATAAAGTCCTCTCTTATGTCCACCCGTCCAATGTTTGTGCATTGTGGCGTTGTTTGGTCTGTGCTCCCCTCCCATGCTGCGGCCATCATTGGTATGTGCCGTGTGTTTCTGTGTGCTTCAGATGAGGGCAGCCTCCACTGTCACCTCCTGGAGTAACCAAACTCCCACAGCCCTCCCCAATGTCCCTCCTCCTCTTCAAGTAGGCAGCGCCTCTGACCAGAAGGTATACTGAGCATTACCGCCCATTCAACCTTGACACACACTTCTTTTTGCAAATTAAAAAGCTTCACTGAGCAGGCCAAAGGTCCACATCCCAAACCTTCCCATGGCTTCCAACCCTCATTGTTAGCTACCATCACTGAACTTCCTGTTAGTACTTCTGTGGCTACAGTGCAAAAGCTTCATTCAGTCTGTTTCTGCTGCCGCCTCATAATTAATGTGAATCATTGCATGATTTATAGCTTACTCTTTATGGTTTAAAACAAAATGCATGCCCTTCTGCACAAATTAAGCTTCACTGAAGTGCGGTTATTGCATCACTTTTATCTGTGAAAGCTCTTTTAACATAAGACTATTCTGCCCTCTAGCAAAACTAAGCTTTATTATAATCACTACATAACTTGCTTTTGTAGAGCACAGTGTTGATTCTCAGTGGGCAGAGGAGGAAGAGTTCAGATTTGTTGTCCCTGCTTTTTCAGGTGGAGCCTTCAAACCCGATGTACGGGATTCCAGCCTCCGGCACGGCTGCAGCTCCTCCGGTCTCCTCCCCTCCTGCCTACATGTATTCTCATCAGTACCAGCGTAAGTGTTTTCACTTCCAGAACTTAGCTGTCTATCATGAAGGGCATTGCACATTAGGTCCAAATTTATTAATATATATATATATATTTTTTTTTTTCTGTATTACTACATTAATACACACACATACCCTTAACAATACAATGCACAGTTTGTGCTTCATTTGGTGGTTTCAGTAAGAAACAGTTTACCAGCTTGCACATTTCAAACACATTTGATACACTTTTATTCAAGTTTTTTTTTTGACCTAACAAACAGGAATATTCCTACAATATGATCCAGTTAGGTGATCATGGGCTACAAAATTATATTTGTTGATAAAAGCTCATCAAATGGGCTCAAAAATACCAGTTTTCAACTCCAGATACTAGAAATCTAATTACTATTTATCTTTAAAAGCCCCCGAGTCATCTATCTGATCAGGTAGATCAGGTTTGATCATTTTTGGCATATTTTAAAGCTGCACTTACAAGAAAAAAAAAACTGGTGTTGAAGTGCTGTACTTGTGAACGAGGTTAGGTGGAGCATACGCTCCTCCTCCAGGCTAAATGTTGTATAAAGGAGACAGGATTCCACCAATTAATCTGTTTGTGTATTCTTTGAAACACTAACAAGTATTTTGCTGTTTAACACTAATGTCAGATCTCTTCTGTGCTGTCATACGTAATCTTAGTTACTAACAGGAAGTGAGAATGTTCAGTTTGTATATCTCTTTGTCCGTTGAGTGTTTTATAATCTACCAGCAAAACATTAAGTACTTCAGCATGCTCTGCACTGTAACCATCCTGTTGCATGGTGCACTTGGTTTAACATGCAACAGTTTTTTCACTAACAGAACATCCTCTGTGTGACTCCCAGCTTACCCCCAGGTCAACCAGTACCAGCATGGAGCTGGTGGTGTGCCTCTCTTTCAGCCTCTTCAGTACTCCTCTGTTCCTCCTCATCCACCTCCTTCAGTAGAGCCATCCTCCCCTCCTCAGCCCCCTGGCTTTCTCTCTGAGTACACGCAACCCGTCCAGTCTCAGCCAATATCTTCAGTTTATCCTGGACAGCCTCCCATCAACCAGTGCCTGTCCTCCTCTCCTCCTTCCCAGCCTCTTTTCTTTCCTAACTCTTCTTCCTACTCCACTCCTCCGTCCTCTGGAGTTTCTTTCCAGCATGGCGGGCCAGGATCTCCTGTGTCGTACATGCCTCCTCCACCGAGCGGAGTCTCAGGTACAAAGATAGACAACAAGCTGATCCTCGCCTCTCAGAGAACAGGTCTGCATGCCTCTAATCACCCTCACTGTCACTGTGCTCCTTACAAATTCTCTCAGCCTTTAAAACTAGTAGGATTCCAGTTTCCTTTGTTTACCTACACTAACAGTTAATATCATATCTAGTTACTAAATGAATTCATTTCATTAGTGTTAACCTGCAGTGCAGGTTATTAAATCTTACCTGCTATAATGTGAATAATAACAGACTTTTTCTGGTCACTATTAAATTAACTCTTAATTATCAAAGCAATTTGCATTTAAATGGTGCGCTGGTTATACAATAGTAAATATGTTTTCTGTTACTGTTTACAAAAAGGGAACATATTGGGTGTCTGAAGGTCATTTCTCACAATAAAAGCACTCAGAATGTATTATCCACATAGACAGTAACTTTAAACCCTAAATGGCAGATGTTTATGTTGTAAATGTAAATCTTACAATACTTACATGTCCCATACAATTATGGGTAGGTTTCATATTTAGCAATGATTTTCAGTTTGCTTCTATTTACCTGTGTTATCTTAGTATATATGGCAGGAAGGTATGCACAAAAATCAATTAAATAATACTACAATTGAAATTGAATATGTTTTCTGCATTAAGCCAATATTACGCCTCTACTTATTCCAGTGACATAGCACAACCAGATGATACTTTATTCAGATAGCAGTTCAAGTGTGAATCAATAGTGACCTGCTCTAAAAGACTGCAAAAAGCAACAATGTCACAGGTTTTCAGCAAGACAGTGATAATTGAGACTGTCCTTTTCTGATTTTTTGGGAGAATTCACCAACTATGAACATGTAAACAAACCAGACTACTTTTTTTTCATAGATAATAGTAATCATACAGTTTAAACTGTGTAAAAATTACACTGTTGTCCTATGGCTGAAAACATTTCCAACTGAAGCTGAGAGAAATGCTAAATGCTCAGATGACAGAGTTGGTATGGACACAGCCAGGTAATCATACTTTTTACACTTGCATGGCTCCACAGAGTATGAGAAAATCACGGGTATAATTGTGACCTGCTTACAATCACACGTGTAATAAAATCCATCTATTCTGGAAGTAATTTGCACAACTTTTTTGTTGATACGATGCAATCATCTTTAACATTCACAATAATTAATGAAAACCACAGTGAATACTTACTCTTTTAAACATAACAGAATCTAATGATTATACAAATGTATTTTTGTACCTGTTTAGCATTTATAAGCAGTTTAATTCATGGTATGTAACACAAAATAATGTCACTTTTAAATGATAAAAGTTAAATTTTATTGAACAATGTCATAATAGGTGGCAGCTGTTTAAACATTTAAGGAATGGCACCGTAAAG